CCCTTTGCAGGAAGACGAATCACAATGACTTGACTTCTCAAGAGAGGCTGGAGGAATAATGGACTAGGATATTGTAGAAGTAACTAAAGCTAGATCTAATAGTTTCAGATTTTTGTGAAGTTCTGTGAAGATCTACCAAAGCTCACTTGGCCTCCCAGCTTTCTTCCTATGAAGTTCCCAGTAAGAATCAGACACTGGTGACATTAAGATGAAGCAGCAGCTCTGTATGTCATTAAGGATTTCACAGTCTATAAGTGAAGACAGACATGAAACAAACCAAGGCAGTGTAGTTTTTTCTTTTTTTATACGTGCCCTCCTCAACGCCCATCACCCATTTCCCCCCTCCATAGCCTCCACCCCATCAACTCTCAGTTTGTTCTCTGTATTTAAGAGTCTCTTATGGTTTGCCTCCCTCTCTGTTTGAAACTATTTTTCCCCTTTCCCTTCCCCCATGGTCTTCTGTTAAGTTTCTCAAGTTCCACATATGAGTGAAGACATATGATTTCTGTCTTTCTCCGACTTATTTCACTTAGCATAATAACCCCAAGTTCCATCTACATTGTTGCAAATGGCAGGATCTTATTCTTTCACATTGCCAAGTAGTATTCCATTGTATATATAAACCACATCTTCTTTGTCCATTCATCAGTTGATGGACATTGGGCTTTTTCCATGATTTGGCTATTGTTGAAAGTGCTGCTATAAACATTGGGGTAGTAAATTCCTAGCAGTGCTGTTGCTGGGTCATAGGGGAGTTCTACTGTTAATTTTTTGAGGAACCTCCACACTGTTTTCCAGAGGGGCTGCACCAGTTTACATTCCCACCAATTGTGTCATTATTTAAAGTACTTCTTCCAACATTCTCTTATATACTGTATCCACCTTCTTTTTCTTTTCCTTTTTGTTTTATTCTGCTGTTGTCATCAACAAGAGAATTCCTAATATGTTTTGGTTTCAATGCTGGTGCACAGGGAGTGGGGGTTTGTAAGTAGATGGGCCTTCTGCTCTGCATGAGGCACGGCCCCCTGTGGCACACTCAGATGTTAAAGGTGGAAATGTTTGTGCCACAGTCAGCACTTAGCAAAATGTATCACTATTTGCAGCTATAATCTTTTTCTTTTTAATTTACATCCAAGTGATTTAGCATGCAGTGCAACAATGATTTCAGGAGTAGATTCCAGTGATTCATCCCCTATGTATAATACCCAGTGTTCATCCCAATAAGTGTCTCCCTTAATGCCCCTCGACCATTTAACCCATTCCACCTCCCACAATCGCTCCAACAACCCAGTTTGTTCTCTATGTTTAAGAATCTCTTATGATTTGTCCCCCTTCCTGTTTTTATATTATTTTTTGCTTCCATTTCCTTATCTTCATCGGTTTTGTATCTTAAAGTCCTCATATGAATGAAATCATATGATATATGTCTTTTTTGACTGATTAATTTCACTTAGCATAATTCCCTCTAGTTCTATCCACATTGTTGCAAATGGCATGATTTCATTCTTTTTGATTGCTGAGTAATGCTCCATTGTACACATACCACTTCTTCTTTATCCATTCATCCATCGATGGACATTTCGGCTCTTTCCATACTTTGGCTATTGTCAATAGCACTACTATAAACATTGGTGACATGTGCCCCTTTGAAACAGCACATTTGTATTCCTTGGATAAATAACTAGTAGTGCAATTACTTGGTCATAGGGTAGTTCTATTTTTAACTTTTTGATAGTGTAGTTCTTCAGGGCAGTTCTCAAGAAGTTGTTCTCACTGGGGGCAATTTTGCTTTCCCATGGGACATTTGGCAATTGTCTGGAAACATTTTTGGTTGTCATAAAGGGGAGGAGGGTGCTACTTGTATCTAGAAGTAGAGGCTATAGGGCGCCTGGTGGCTCAGGCGGTTGAGCTGTCAGCCCAGAGCCCAATGTGGGGCTCGAACTCACAAACCATAAGATCATGACCTGAGCCGAGTCGAATGCTTAACTGACTGAGTCACCCAGGTGCCCCAAGAAATAAGTTATTTTAGAAGAACTGTCTAAAATATTTATTGATAAATGATATAATGTTTATGACTCACTGCAAAATCATTCAGTGTGTGTATGATGGGTAGAGGGTATGAGAAAGGGTAGAAGTTTTTTTAAAGTTGAAGGAGCACATCTCTTTGTTACTTAGTGGCCATTCCAGGAAAGCCAAAGATAGGTTGTTTTTTTGTAAATTTTTTTAAAGTTTATTCATTTTTGAGAGAGAGAGAGACAGAGCATGAGTGGGGAGGGGCAGAGAGAGGGAGACACAGAATCTGAAGCAGGCTCCAGGCTCTGAGCTGTCAGCACAGAGCCTGACGTGGGGCTTGAACTCACAAAGTGCAAGATCATGACCAGAGCCAAAGTCAGATCCTTAATGGATAAAGCCACCCAGGTGCCCCAAGCCAAAGTTAGTTTATAGGAAAAATGCATTATTCTGATTTAAAATTTTTTTAATTTATTTTTGAGAGAGAGAGAAAGAGAGAGACAGACAGACAGACAGAGGATCTGAAGCAGGCTCTGCTCTGACAGCAGTGAGCCTAATGTGGGGCTCCAACTCACAAACCTTGAGATCATGACCTGAGCCCAAGCTGGACGTTTAACCACTGAGCCGTCCAGGTGCCCCAACATTATTCTGCATTTGAGGCCTGTATTTGGAAAGACAAAATCAAGAAGTATAGTCAGAGGAAGAGCACCTCAGTGGCTCAGTCAGTTAAGCATCTGACTTTGGCTCAGGTCATGATTTTTCAGCTTGTGAGTTTGAGCCCTACATAGGGCTCTCTTCTGCCAGCACAGAGCCTGCTTCAGATCCTCTGGCCACCCCCTCTCTGCCTTTTCCCTGCTTATGCTCTATCTCTCTCAAAATACATAAATAAGCTTAATAAAAATGAAAGTGACATAATTTGAAGGTTTTTTTTTTAAAAAGAAGTATAGTTAGAGTATATTATGAAAATAAGTTATAATTATCTAAGGGCATATGCAGTTACAGCCAATATTTTGAAAACACAGCAATAAGTACCAATGACAATAAATATAGAACTAACAGCTTGGTGTGGCAAGCCATGTCACATACATGCACAGAATACTGTGGAAGTTCAGAGCAGGAACAGCCAAATCAGACAAAGGACTAAGGCAGATAGAAGAGTTGGTGCTTTGTCTGGGTCACTGAGAGCAAAACCTAGTTGGAGAGAGAACAGATAAACTATATAATTATACATAACATAGATTAGTAGCGTAAGGGCTAAATAAGGCATTCAAATCAGTAAATGACACAGGAAGGAACTTTTTACATGCATTGAACTGGCTGGGAAAGAAAAGAAGGTGGAATTTAAGATGGTCTTTAAACTTCAGGCAGAATTGATTTAGAGAAGGAGGGAGTGGGAAGAATTGGAATCTTAGGTAAAGACATAATTTGGGATATGATATGTAGCAATTCTAGTAGCTGGAAGAGAAAAGTGTTGAGGAAACACTGAGGTCTCAGAAGACAGATAAGATAAACTTGAACAAAGTGGAGGCTAAAAACTAGACTAAGTAGATTGGAAAAACAAAAGGATGTACAATAGGGAAAGAGAAGAGTTTAGAGACAGGAATAGACCTAGGAGTAAGAGGAAGAGAAAGGAGAGTTACTTCACCTCCTGCGGTATCACAATACCTCAAGCCGTAGTAATGTTAAAAATGGAGGGGGGGGTGCCTGGGTGGCTCAGTTGGTTGAGCATATGTCTTAGGTTCAGGTCATGATTTCAGGGTTGATGGGTTCAAGTCCTGCATCGGGCTCTATGCTGACAGAGCCTGGAGCCTGCCTCAGATTCTTTCTCTCTCTCTCTCTCTCTCTCTCTCTCTCTGCCCCTTCCCTGCTTGTGCTCTGTCTCTGTCTCTCAAAAATAAGTAAATGTTAAAAAAATGTTTTTAATGGGAAAGATAAACTATACTTATGATCAAGCAAACAAAAAACATATTTGATGCCCACTTGGTGCAAAGAAAGTTCTTGAACACTGCTTCTCAAAAGATAAGAATTCCTGTGGTTTTTATGTGTCTTTCCTGAAGTTTGTATTAATATTTAGAATGTGACAGTATCTGTTTCTTTTGTGAACTATCAGTACTATGTCAAAACGTATGGATTTGTCCATATCATGTCATATGTCAAAATGCTAGATTAATTATGGGATTTCTGAAATTAATTTTTAATTATATAAGGAATATGTGAAGCCATTCTTGTAAAAAAATGAAAACAATAGAGACATAGCTTAAGGGCTCTGATTCTGATCCTCTCTCTGACACCACTGTTACAGTAGTGTGTATTCTTCCAGACTTTTTGCCATGCATTTAAATACTTATGAATATGGCACCTGGGTGGCTCAGTCGGTTAAGCAGCCAACTTCAGCTCAGGTCATGATCTCACGGTTTGTGGATTCGAGCCCCGCATCGGGCTCTGTGCTGACATCCTGGAGCCTGCTTCAGACTCTGTGTCTCCTTCTCTCTCTGTCCCTCCCCTGCTCATGCTCTATCTCTCTTTCAAAAATAAATAAACATTAAAAATTAAAAAAAACCAGTTAAATACTTATGAATTCATATAAAGTATACACTTTCATATTAAAAAAAACAAATGTTATACTGTATTTTTCCCTCTTGAACTTAAAAAAAAACCTTTCTGATCCAACACTGGATTTATTAATCTTTTGAACTGCTGAATGTACTCTGTAATATGCAGTATTACAATATTTAGCCATTTAACTGTTGTGAATATATCATCTCTTTAGGGTTAGTGAGCCAGACAAAAAAAACCTAGCATACAGGTCCTTGGGCAAGCATGCGATTTCCCTAGCACTGATGGCAATTAGTGAAAGTGGAAGGTCACATGTAAGTTGTAATTTTAAAATATAATTTATCACGCCAAATAGTCTTCCAAATTGGCTGTACCAACTCACACGCCTATGTAGAGATTTTTAATCATTCCTTTCTTGGCAGAAACTTTTACCCTAGTAGGGTTCCACACAGGGTAAACCCCACTCCTTCCCAGGACCTGGCCCAAGCGCACGTGCCCACGTGCCTCCCTTGCGCCAGTTTTGGCCCCGCCCTTCCGCTCAGAGGTCCGGCCGCTCGGCCTCGCCTCTTCCGAGGGCGGGGCGTAGATCGGCCGTGACGTCACTGCCGGCCGGGCGCCATCTTGCTGGTCTGCGGCCGGTCTTGGATGTGGCGGCAGCAGTGGTGAGGGCGTGGGGAAGGGTGGGGTGAGGGGGCGAGGCCGCGGTGCGGGCGGCGAAACTCTCCTCCCCTCAGCCCCACCGCGTGGGACGGCGTGAACGCGGTGTCGGAGGGATGTCAGCCTTCTCTGAGGCGGCGCTGGAGAAGAAGCTGTCGGAGTTGAGCAACTCGCAGCAGAGCGTGCAGACCTTGTCCCTGTGGCTCATCCACCACCGCAAGCACTCCCGGCCCATCGTCACCGTGTGGGAGCGGGAGCTGCGTAAAGGTGAGTCGTCTCGCCACCCGGCCTGTTCCCTGGTGCCGCCGGGACTCCCTCCCCGCGAGCCCCGCTTCCCCGGCGACCCCAGCTCCCCGCCGCCCGGCACCGCCCTGCCCTGCGTGCCGGGCTTCCTGGCGTCCGCCGGCTAGGCGTGCGCTGCGCTTCGCGCAGAATCTACGGTTAGTAGGTATTGTTGCATAAGGAATGAAGGATTAAAACAGAACGAAACAGAACCCCTTCTGATTTAACACACGCAGTAACCAGGAGCTCAGGACCTTGCCTCTAATTGGGGCCAGACATTCAGGCAGTCAGATGTTTTTTTTTCATTCTGTAGGTTGTAATGGAGAGTAAGGGTGAAAAAAGGTGGAGTGGAAAGGAAAAGATTGGTGTGCGGATGGGAGTTAATTCCATCATTTCTCTGACACATCAGCTCAATCTTGAAAAATTAATAGAGGAGTCAGAATGTTAGAATTGGGGAATCTAAAATTTCCTCCATGCCTGATGCAGTGAAGGAACCCTGAATTTGTAGATTTTAGAGGACTAGCATTCGGCGAATTTATTAATTTCTATTTTGCGGTTGCCTCACCTGAAAATAAGGGAGTTACATTGCGTGACCTGAAGTCTTCTTGCTCTATGATTCTGTACATTTAGGGCAACGTGTTTGTTTTGCAAAACAGGAGTCCTGTAAATTAAGTTAACTTTTTTGAGCAGTAATCTGCTCTCGCTGAAATATTTCAGAGTCATTTCACTTCTGCAGAGCAACTTTATCTGTAAGAACTGATTGTATGTTAGTGACACTAAGAATAAAAAAATTCATTTGTTTAGAGTCTGGGTTTGCACCGTAATTCTTAATTCATTGCGTAGAAAGAACTGTGCACTTTTCGTTATTGCTTCAGACATTCTTGTGCATCGATATGATGGTTATTTATTAATTAGGGATTCTAACAGCCTTTATTAATCAAAATGGATGTTTGTTTACCGACCCATATGAAAGCTGTACGATGTGATGTATTAATATGAGAGCCAGAATGTGGCATTGGCTATAGAGCATGGAAACGAGCTGTCCTTTTCTTGTGTATTTGCTTGTGGTAACTCTCTTAGGAGAAATGGACCTTAGGGCCAGGTTTTTCAGTTCATGTGGTGTGTATGTATTGGCACTCAGGGAGGAATTCACCTTCTGTGAGTGGCCAGAAAGGTTTGAGAAACATAGACGTAAAGGTCTGGAAAATAGCTGAACTGTGAGAAGAAAGTAGTTGTCTTTGTTCCTGTACTTTACTAGATTTCAAAATAAGCAAAAAGGCTTATGCTTTTTTGGGGGTTAGAGGAGAGTATTAGAAACACATATAACCAATAAAGGATTGGTACCCAGACTATCTTAAGAACTACCAAAAATCAGTAGAAAAATGGCAGTACTACTAAATGTGTTCACATGACTGGAAACCTGAAAGGCCAATAAATAATACTTAATCTTACTCATCAGGAAAGAATAAACCAATGAGGTACCACTTTATACCCTTCAGTTTGCAAGAATTGGTGAAGATGACGAGGAACAGGAACTCTCCTACATTGCTGGTTGAAGTATAAAAAGGAGATAAACTCCATGGCTTCCTAATGAGGTTGAAGGTATATTATTCTTTGACCAGCAGTTCTCCTTCTAGGAATGTATTTTAGAAACTAATGCCTGTGCTCAAGGAATTATGTTTATTGTAGCTTCTTAGTAACAAACAGCTGAAACATCTCATTAGAGTATGGACAAATAATACTGAAATATTCACGGGATATAATACCGACCAGCAGTTTTCATGAATGGACTAGAGCTCCATGAAACAACATCATTGAATGAAAAAACAACAGACAAGCAAATTGTTGAGCCAAGAAAGAAGGTGCAGACCAATATCCCATTTGGTAAAGTTTGAAAATATGCAAAAGTAATTCTCTGCTTCATTCACAGATACTTGTTGTTACAGTTAGAAAAACATGCATAGTAATGATTAACATCACATTGCAAGATAGTGGTTACCGTAAGGGAGAGAGGAAGTGAAAATGGATCTGTGCTATCTTATACTAAATATATTTTTTTAAACATTTGATACATGTGGGAAAATGATTTGGGGTTGTTTCCATATGTTTAAATGCTTCATAATTAGAAAAAAATTAAAGGCCTATAAATAGATAACTGTAGGAGGAGAGTGGTGTTGGGTGATGATGGTGATGGCAGTAATGGTGGTAGTAGTGGTGGTGATCATGCTGCTGCAGCTACAGTTTTGTTTGGTCTTGGATTATCTGCCAAAAGTTTCCTTTCCTTGAGCTGACTGTACCTTTGTAAGGCAGAGCCTTTATGTTCCTCCAGCTTTGCAGTGTTTTGCCATCAACTTTTTTTTTTTTAGTGTTTATTTTTGAGAGAGAGAGCACGTGTGCCTGTGTGCAAGTCGGGGAGGGGCAGAGAGAGAAAGATTTCGAAACCTTCCTTCCCCAGGCTCGAAGGAGGGCTCAAACTCATGAAGTGGGAAATCAAGACCTGAACCGAAGTCGGACTCTTGACTGACTGAGCCATGTCAGCCCCCCTCCTTGTCAACTTTAGCATCCTCCATGGCCTGTAGCATAATGATAATAAGAATCATTGACTGAATGTCAGCGTTGTTTTAGCCATCTTACTGTAATATCTTGAATCCTCACATAATCTCTACAAAATAAATATTTATCAAAGGAATTGGCCAAATTTGAAGTAAAGAAGTCAATAAATAAAAACAGAACATTTTGTATTATGCTTGGCATTTTTTAGTTTCTTGAAGTGTTTAAAGAAGACAGATGTAACATTAGTAGGAAAAATTACTTTTCAAAATATAAGAATCAGGTAAAATGGTAATGTCACACATGGTAATTATTCAGTTATGAAGATTTCCTTTCTTGTTCTGCCTTCCTTATTTTTACCTCTTTTAAAGAAAGAATTTCAGGGGTGGGGCTAAAAAGAATTTCTGTTTGAAAGTATATATCCCAAGGCTTTTATGAAGACTATAAAGTAGCCATGTTTTTCCTGAGAAATGTGATAGAGTGTAACCAAAAAATGTGAGGATTTTGTTTTGTAACAGCTTTATTGAGATATAATTGACATGTCATACAATTCATTCATTTAAAGTGTACAGTTCAGTGGTTCTTAGTGTATCATAAAGTTGTGAGACCACCACCACAATCAATTTTAGAACATTTTCATCACCTAAAAAGAAACTCTATGCCTTTTAGCCTTTATACTCCAACCCTCTACTTTCCCCAGCCTCCTGCAACCATTAATTTATTTTGTCTCTATAGATTTGCCTGTTAGTATTTCGCTTAATGGAAGTGTACAACATGTCATCTTTTGTGATTGATTTCCTTTGATTGTTTTACAGGCTCATCCATGTTGTAGCATTTTTCATTCTTTTTTATGGCCAAATAATAATCCATTATGTGGATTTACCCATTCATCAGTTGATAAGACATTTTGGTTATTTCCACTTTTTGCTATCATGAGTAATATTGCTGTGAACATTTGCAGACAGATTTTTGTGTGGATGTGTTTTCATATTTTTCAGTACATACCTAGGGGTATAATTGCTAGGTCATACAGAAATTCTGTTTAACCTTCTGAGGAACTACCAGTCTTTTCCACAGTGACTGCTTCATACACTCCTACCAGAAGGGTATGGGGATCCAACTTTTCTACATCTCTGTGAACACTTGTATTACCTGTCTTTTTTATAGCCAACCTATTGGGTGTAAAGTGGTGTATGATTGTGGTTTTCATATGCATTTCCCTGATGGCTAAGGATATTGAGCGTATTTACATGTGCTTATGGCTATTTATATGTTCTCTTTGGAGAAATATTTGCTCAGATCTTTGCCCATTTTTACATTTTTTTAAAATGTTTGTTTATTTTTGAGAGAGGAGGAGGGGAAGGGCAGAGAGAGAGGGAAACACAGAATCTGAAGCAGGCTCCAGGCTCTGAGCTGTCAGCACAGAATCCAACATGGGGCTCCAACTCACAAGCTGCGAGATGGTGACCTGAGCTGAAATTGGACACTTAACCAACTGAGTTGGACAGTTAACCAACTGAGCCACCTAGGAGTCCCAAATTGATTTCATGTTAATGTAAAATAAAATAACATTTAGTAAAAGATAACGATATCCTACAAATATTAGGGATTGGAATGATTTACATTTTTGCATATCTTTATATCTGTCTTAATTGAAATCAGCTGGATCCTCATGTCTGCCTTTGCATTTAGTCTTGCCATATGGTATATCACATGATCTGGAATACACTACACATGTGAGAGAACTAGGCTGAAAAAGGCAAACAATGTCAAAGAAGAAAAAGGGTAAATAATGTCTTGGCATTATTGAGAAAATAGTTCTGACTTAATAGACTCTATGAAAACGTCTTGAGGACCCCCAGAGATCCACAGACATATACGGAGAATAGTCCCGTAAATTGGTAGTTGGATCAAGAGGCTAGGACACATTGCTTTGCCTTAAGCAGACATGTTCCTTCCAAAATATTAATTCCTGTACTACTCAGTGTAAACTTTAACTGAATTTATGAAATTTTCCTTTGTCTTAATTTTTTTAGGTTCTTTTTCCTGTGACATAGCTTTTTAAAGAAATTGTTCATTTGGTATTTTTGCTGTGGCAAAATTTTGTTTAAGCAAATTACCTTTAAGTTTCTAATAAAAATAAAGGTGTGCTTCTAGATTAAGCAAATAAAATGTAATCCATAGTTTTCTGTCGTGCTTTTGGATAAAATGATTTTTCATTTGAAATTGTCATTAAGTTAATTTGGTTGGTTTCCCTTATTTCCTAAATACCTTTTAAGGGAGCTTCTGCTCTGTTGCCAAATAAGGAGGGTACAGCAGGTAAGAGACACATCGCTCTCTTCATGGAGCTTACATATCAGTCAGGGAAATGGACTCTACTAAATTAGTAACTCCACTGTGATACAAAGAAAAACTGTAACTGGGAAACTAATCTA